CAATGAAATTGGAAAGTATAATGTTCAAAATACCTAATATTGTAATGGTATTAATATTGTAAACAAAGCAGTAGAATTGACTAAATCAATATATTTAATTCTTTTTATAATTGAATTCAAACAATTATTTGCAAATATCAGAGTACAGCACTATGGTAAATAAGAATCAAAAATAAACCAAATCTGAAAATATAAACTTTAGACCTTGAAATCCTATGCTTGATAGTGTTTAGGGTTGGTATATAAAGCTGTCAGTCACAAAAAGCAAATCTGCTTCTAATTCTGTCGAGTGGTGGGGCCACTTCAAGCACGGCACTAAAATTGATTTATTAGAGCCAGGAGTTCTAACTCGGGCAGCTCAACAAGCTGTAAACCAGAATTAAGGAAAGATATAGATTCAGTGCCATTTTTAAACAGTTGATAATAGTAAGTTTGATGAAGGCAAAAAAAATAATTAAATTTTAATTAAGTTAGTGTTTATTTGATACATTTTATGAAAATAATTTTACACCCAGTTCACCTTGTAGAGAGGTTGGCATTATACAATAATATTATAAATTCAGGTAAAGTGGGCATTAATAATATAAATCCATAAACTTTATTACTTTTGGAGGAGGAGGAAAATGATTTTGTTTTGATTTTTATTTTAAAAGTCAATGTGATTATTGTCTGTTAAGAATCAACCTATTTTCAAAATGAGTAATACATTTTATTTCATGCACATATATTTAATTTTTATGGATTTTTTTTTTTAATTTTATGATAATCTTACAGCAAAACATTTCATTCATTTTTTTCCAATCAGAAGAGAACTTAATTGTTTTTATTGAAATCATTGTCAGTTTTCTTAAATTGAATTTCATTTTTTTTTTTTTTTCAGAGGAGAATAGAGGTTTTAATCATTAATCTGCTCTGGACTCCATATGGACAAGGTACACCACAACGAGCAGTAATTAGATAAACAATGTCAGACTCATATCTAATGATTCAAGTATTTCATAAATATACAATGAGATTGATGAAATCAGTACATTCATTTAGGAGCTACAGTCTATAGCATCAGAGGTTTTTCGGCTGCCATTTTGAAAGTAAGAGGCCGATAGTAATGTCGATGAAGGAGAATCATCCTCGGGTGAACTCTGATTTTATATCAAAATTTGAAAAAAATCGGTAAAGTAGTTTCAGAGAAAATGCCCGGACGGCATACGGCAACAGACAAAAAAATTTTTATTCGTTTTTAGAATTCTACGCATCCTGAAACGTTAAACCTCAAATTTTGAGAGGGGTCAAGTTTTTTAATTTTTTGGTCGATCACAATGATTGATTATTGAAAATAATAAACCAAAAATAATCTTCTATTATTGATGAATAAAGAATAAAATAATAAAATATCAGGTCATCCCCTAAGTAATGTCGGTATATAATTGTGTGATATAAGGAGTAAGATAAAATCAATGAAACACATTCAATCTAAAATGTATTAACCATCTTGTTCAATAACAGTCTGCTATTTTGAAACCAAATTTTGTATACCTTTTCTGAAAAATATTTTTCATTTTAATTAGTAAAGAAAGCCAAAACCTCGTTATTCATTTCATCGGCTGAATTCATATTCCTGCCACTTAATGAGTTTTGGAGACTGCAAAATAGGTGACAATCTGAAGGTGCTAAATCAGGTGAATATGGTGGGTGAGATATAATTGCCCATCTTAAGTCCTTCAATTTTCACAATCTTTGTTTTTCAAGACAGGACCTCCCATTGTCATGGTGGAATAAAATGTCTCATCTATTGATAATTGAAATTTGTCTTGATTAAAATAGATTAGTGATAGTTTTGTTAAGATCAAGTTTATCATAATAAAGAATTCTTCTCATATTTCATCAACAAGAAGGGGATGACCTGATATTTTATTCTTTATTCATCAATAATAGAAGATTATTTTTGGTTTATTATTTTCAATAATCAACTCTGATTTTATATCGGAACAACAACATATTTCATCAAGACATCATTACTTTGTTTGGTTTTCCTTTAGCCTTCTGAAAGAAGTCCTTCTTTCGCTTCTGTTTTTGATGTTTCTACAGGACTTAACCTCTGTAGTTCACTAATTACATTTCCTTTATATATTTCTGTAAATTTCTGATAGGTTGAAGCAGTATTTTCTCCTTTATTCAATTCCTAAAGCATAACATGGCATAAGAACTTTTTGGAAAGATCCACTTTAATTTAAATTTCAGCACAGAGTAACTAATTTTCTCCAACAAGAACAAGATAAAAAGAAGAGTATGCAATGCTATAATAAACAAAATATGTAAACACAATTCAATTGTAATGGAGATATTATTAATATCAAAGTAAACAGATAAATTTTTAGAACCGACATTACTTATGGGATGATCTGATACTTTTCCAAACATAAACCAGGAGGAATAGGATTTTTATTAGAGGACATTATAAGATCTTCAAGAATGAGAGGAGCAAAAAAATAGAACATAATAACTAAACACATTTTGGTTTGTTTATATACTTTATAAATATATGAAGATACATATAATCTTTAATAGTTGCAAACTACAATTTTAAAAAAATAAATAAATAAAATCAACAAATTGATAGTAAATAATTAAAACCATAATACAGAAATGAAACATTACACTCGACACAGCCTAATATAAATCTTTAATATTTCTAAAGGGCACCATTAAACATAAAACTAACAGTCTTTCTTTTTGTATCAACAAAAGAGTATCAGTTCATAAAAGGTTAAAATAAAATAAAACTTCTGTATTTTTATTTTTTATAAATATTTAATTTTACACGGCTTCTTTGTATCCTTCGTAGAATATTAAGCCGATAAATGTTCTGTGCTCAGATAAAGACCAATTAGTTTGTAACAAAAAATATTAAATTTACAAAAAAAATAACAAAAATTAAACACACAATCATTGAACAGAAAAATAGTGTGTCGCAAGTTCAACTTTTAAAAAATGAAAATCAAAAAATAATTAGTGATACGAAAAAGAACTGATACTCTTAACAAACATAATAATTATTCTATGGTTATCGATGTTATGTCTGAATTATATAATTCATTCTTCAAAATTTTAAAAATGACTAGTATATACAAATCTTCATTTAACTTGTGAAAAGAAAAAAACCAATGGCAAAAAAATTGTAGACAAAGTAAAATACTATAACTATAATATATATAGCACGTAAAATTTGCGTGTTTAAATATACTTTATTGTCTTAAATTCTGATAATCCGACCAGGATTGATCAAAAGAGAAAAGCCTTCAAAATTATAAAATTCTGACACATGAGAAATTTTGAGCTTTCTGACACTTAATAACCAATCAGTGGCATCATAATCATCATTGATATCAAAATATTCTAAAAAAAAATTTTTTTTCATTTCAATTATACAATTTTTATAAAATTTAAATTAAACCAACTTAGGTATTCTCTGAATATTCAGAACTATTATTCATTCAATATTTTAAAATATTATAAACTACTTGTTTATATATATATTTTTAAATACTATATAGTTATGAAAGGAAAACTTTTTTGATGGAAAACAATGACAATTTAAAAAACTAAATGGCCTGTGACAAACCTAGATTATATGCACTGGTATTTTTGAGCATGACGTGTGGTATAAAATTCACAAATTTTAAATAATTAAGGTTAATGACTACAATATAGAAAATGATTTCTTATATTAATAACTTTTTTAAAAATGTAAATTTAGTAAACATGAAATTATTTTAACAAAGTAATAATAATTAATGAAGATAAATATTAACACCAAAATGAACAATTTCTGATTTTTAAATCTGATAAACTAATATGAACCTATTATTTGGGTGAAGGAGGAGAGAAAGTCATTAATTTTCATTTTAAATAATCACAAATAATTTTTGTCACTTTCCATAAACCATTCTTAAAAAAAAAAATATATATATTTCTTATGTAATATATAAAATCATTTTCAATACCAACAAAACAAATAGAAAATTAACATTCTCATTTACAATACATTGAAACCAAAAATATTGGATATCATTTATTAGGAACTATTCTTAGAACAATAAAGTACATATCTTCGTTGTAAGGCAAAATTATATTTAAAAACTACTTTTATTACTTCAAAGCTACTTAGAGTATTTATGAAATAAATATAACTGTAGATAAATTAAAATCATTATTACATATTTTTTTAAATTGTAAAATAGTATGCTTAATATCAGTCATAATTAATATGCTTGGTGAATTGTTAAAACAGATTTATTCATAGTGTTATCAAATTTTTCTTTAAAATTATTCACACAAATATGGAGTAATGTTTTGTAAAAAATAAAATAAGCTTTAATTAAATAAAAATAAGAAACAAACTAATAAATACAAAAATGGAATCAAAATAACAATTTGATTAAAAGGCAGTTTTATTTCCAATATCACAAGTTACTATATTCTTAAAATTGTTATAATGCTTTAGTGCATATTATATATATTTAAAAAAAGTGTAATGGACATTATTCAAAGAATATTTATTTTTTGGGAAAGGTTTTTTCTTAGTTTTGTTTTATTTTAAAGTATTTTATTGCAAGACATCAACTAATCATTATAAAAATATTTTATATGAAATCAGAAAACAAATAAAAATTGTAATTACTAAAACAAATAATTAGCACCATTCATTAGTGATTATTTGAGAAACTCATAAATGAATAAATTAATATTAATCAATATGAATAAAATACAAGTTTTATGCATTAAATAATATATGTTGAAATAAATTAGAAAAGCACTAAATTATTAAGTAATGAAGCCTATACTCATAAGGAGGTAACTTGAAAAGGAATTGAGAGTTCGAAATACAGTGGAGAATAAAAATATTTTATATTTACAAAAAACAAATAAAAGGTAAATTTAAATTAGACTAAATGTAGAAAATATACATATATACAGTACTTTAGTGATTGTACGTAAAATCTTTAAGGAACAGCCCTCAGGATTGGTTCATAAATCATTTTATCTCTAGTGGCACTGTATGCTTGACGCTCCTGGTCTGGATATTTTGTAGGAAGGTTTGGAGAATGGAGATTGACTTTCGCTGAATAAAGTCTACCTCCTACATCAACTTCATAATCACCAGATAAGACATATTCACTTGTAACTTTATGCTTATTTCCTTTTTCGTCGAGGTTCATAATGAAACCAAGGCATACCTGTACAACAATGTTCAGATAATATTAATAATAACTCACATAAATATATCTAATGTCTAAAAGTCAAATCCTTACTGGTATATCTAAGTATAGTAAATCTGATTTCAAAACTGGAATTTACAGAATATGAATGCATGCATGGATATTAATAGGGTCGAGACGATCTGGTTATCGAACAACATACATCCAATGATCCATGAGTGCCTTTATCCTTAATACCAGCGAAGGTTAAATTTAGCATATTTAGAACCATTTTAGAACTCCCTATCGTTTCAAGCATGCTTAAGAAAATATGGGAAATGTCTGATTTCCCAATTGTTAGAAGGCTGGGAACGTGTCAGAAAATACAACTACCTCACATCAATAAAAAATTTGTCCATGGCACTCAACAATATCATCAATAACATAATCAGAACTGGGTCTCCAGACATTGTAATTTTTTAACATAACCTTTAAGTCCATGAATTTTCACAGTCCGATCTTGTAACAACAAAAATGTTTAGAAAAAATGGCTTTCTACATCTAAAAATTAATCATTTTCTTCTAAACTTAAATATTCCTGTTGATGTAAAAATCGATATTTTTAAAAACAATTTGACTAATCTATATGAGATGCCCAATTTTTTTGAAAAGAAGAAATAAAAAACAAAGGCATCTTCAAAACAGAAAAAATATAGCTACAATAATCACTGGGTTCAATCATTACAACCTAAGAACATTTTTATCAAAATTCTTAACAATCCTGAACTGACAACATTCCTCTGGATTTTCATCATAAAAAAACTGTAACTTAGTACAGTGAGGATGCCAACATACAGGAAATACTTGAAATACTAACAATGAAATAAACATATTCACAATAACTTATCATCAAAAATGGTCAGGTATGTGGCAAAAAGGGGTATAATCTCAAGAAGTGTATTTTGAGCAGAAACCATTCCTTCATTGTTACAAAATAAAGATAAAAAAGTAAGATTTATAAATTTGAAATAAATTGTACAGTTTTATTATCAATTTGAGAAATGTAATAAAGAGAACAGAAATCGTGCAGTTTAGAGTCTAAAAATACGTTTCTTGATGGTATTCATATTCAATTCAAAGTTTTAGATAAAACACATTCAAGCAGTCCACATCCTATTATTTTTTCTAATTCTTGGAAGATTTGAATACATTTAAGAACAGTTAAATTATACAAAATACAAAGTATTTTTAAGCAAAGAAAAATAAAATTATTCATTACATTATGAGAGTCTATTTAATGAGATTCTAAATAAGTGAAAATTTAGACCTTATGAATGAAATATTTTAATGGAAAAAGAATTAATCCACCTACATTCCAAAAAAAGCATTCTAATGATTAATAACCATAAAAATAATATAAAAATAAGGTTCTGTTGATAGATATGAAATAAAATACAATAAGAGATATTTAAAAAACTAGTAAGGAAATTCTTCATTAATGCCTTGCATCATGAAGAAAAGGGCTCCATCAATTATTTAAGACAAGTTCAAATTACCTGTTGTTTAAAAGTAAAACCATAGCCAGTTGTTGTTGTAGCTCCAACATATTTTCCATTCCTATATATAGGTTCACCACCCCAAGGCCAAATGTCTGTTTCTTCATCGTGGTCTTCCAATAGCAGCTGGACATACATACGGTTGACCCCTTCCTCCTGTTGTTTTAGTAATGCTGAACGACCAATAAATTCTCCTTTCTATGAAAATGAAGATAATATTTAAAAAATATGGTACAGTATACACTATAGTTTATATACTAAATACAAATTATAGATTGAAAAAAAAATATATGAAATCTTAATTTTAGGTTTGACAGTAAAAATTTAAAACAAGGCGAATGAATCAAGATTTTTTCTCACATCAAATTTCACTCTCCAGGTTCTTCCACATTCCAAAGGTGTTGTAGTTGTATCAAGGTCCTGTCCCCAAAAAGCATAAAACTTTTCCACTCTAAGAGCTCTCATGGCATAATATCCACAATGTTTCAAACCATACTTCTCTCCAGTTTCAATAAGTTTCTGATAAACGTGTAAAGCAAACTAAAAAATACAAATATGGGAGTTAGGATACAAGAAAAAAAAACACTGGCAAAATTAAGCTATACCTTGATTATATTTAAAGCCTAAAATATAATTGATTGGATATGAAGAAAACAAATTTATATTGAATTAAAAAGAAGCAAGATCCTTTCTTCTGTCAGTTATAAATCAATTCAAAATTGCAAAATAAATCATCTCAAAAAAGATACAGTATGATCTACATGAAATACGGAATTTCACTAACATGAAAATCCTAGTTTATAGGTGGCATGCTGCAGACTCCAAACATTTTTGTACGATACTGATTAATCTAGCACTATAATTAATTAATATCTAATTATTAAAGTAAAAAAAAATTCAAAATTAATAGAATTACGATGAATATATGTATATGGGTGTGTGTATTTAGTGATGATAAAAATAGAAATAGTAAAATATAAAGAATTGTTGCGGCCTCCATTAGCACACCAGGTGGCTTTACTGCGGCCTCTAATGATAAAAAAGTTCCCCACCTATGCCATAATTAATAACAATAGAGCTTAATTACAGAAACAACTTAAATTCGAATTAAGATGAAAATTATCTTCAAATTAATTTATCTTTATTTGATATAAAGAAAAAAAAATTATTTGATCATTACATTGGCTTAACTAATATTAACACTACTTTATCATGACAATAAGAACTTTTCTTATGTATAAAAAGGAATAAAAATAGGCAAAACAATGAAAAAAATCACAATCATTTCAGAAAGAAACATTGGTCGGTAGAGAGTAATTTAGAACTTTTTCATAGACCAATTAAGTAAAGGCTTTTGCATGAATACAGAAGGCTCAACAAGGTTCATTGACATCTTGGTGTTCAATGTGGCAGAAAAGGAGGCACTCATAGTGGATCCCACTAACAGATTTGAAACGAACGATTAGGATCAGGACTTCAAAGCAGAGAAAGAAGAAATTTATACGAAATGCATACCTTTCCTGAAAGAAAAGGATAGAGATGAATTCGGTGAGAGAGAATTCCCAGTTAAAAGGCTATGGTTTGGAAGCAGGAGAACCATCAAGCAATACAAGCAATTTCTTGCAGAGGCTCGGTGTTGGAAGGGAGCAGATGCAGACCATGACAGAGACAATTATTTTAGACTCGCTGGGAATCCTCCATCACCACATATATTGATCTGGGCCCTCCCTTATTTGATTCTATAAACCGTTCTTGGCATATCTGATATATATTCCAATGGGCCGACCTAACTCTCTCTTATATTTTTTTAAAGTATTATCTATTCATTGATGAGTATGCTGTGTTATTTAGCAACGCAACATAGTTGAGCAGCTGTGCAACGTTGTTGTATTTCTCCTTCTAAGATTATGAAATAATACGGAAATGGAAAACATATTGACTATAAAATGAAAACTGAAGCTATTTCTATTGACTATATTTAAAACTCATTTGGCACTGAACATTAATAACAATTGAAGATCTCAAAAACACAAATGAATATGATTGAATATTGTTGGTTCTGATTCCAGAATTCTGAGTATTACATGTTTCAGATTGCTAATCCTTTTGCTGTAGCAGGAACGCAGCCTGATTGTGCCCTAGTAAAAGTATTACATCCTTTACTGCCTCCCGTTTATGCTTAAATATTATGCTAAAAGTGCTCAACGAAGGGGTTGAATAATGAGGTTAGGTACAGATCATATCTGTACTATAAAATGTTAACAAGTCTACCCCTCTTTTACAAATTAATGGTTTCTTGTAATATTTCGAATAGAAAATATCAGCCTTCTGACAGAAAGATTATCATCATCATCATATGTGGCACAACATCCCGTTACCGAGACTGGGCCTCCTCCAAGAACCTCCGCCAGTTGGCTCTGTCTTCTGCTGCAGCTCTCCAGTTCTGTACACCAAGCAGGGTTCTCGCATCATAGGCCACGTTGTCCAACCATCTCGTCCTCGGCCTTCCTACCCGTCTTACGAGGTGCAGCTCCTCCATCATTATTTTTTTTGGTATTTCAACAGTGCTCATTCTGGCCACATGCCCTGCCCACCTTAGTCTGGCCAGTTTAATATACGTGACTACGTCGATGTCTGCATAGAGAGAACTGAGCTCCCTATTTTTTCTTTTCCTCCAGACATCACCCTCCTTTACTGGACCATAAATCCTTCTGAGGACTCCTCGCTCAAACACACTCAGCTTCATCTCATCCTTTTTAGTCATCGTCCAAGCCTCTGAGCCATATGTCAAAACAGGCCGAACAAGGGTCTTGTATATGATCAGCTTGGTCTTCTTTGAGAGGTACCTACTTCTTAAGTGTCGGCCAAGTCCAAAGACACATCTATTGGCAGCCGTGATCCTTCTTTGTATTTCTTGAGCCATGTCATTTTTGCTATTAATTTCAGACCCAAGGTATATAAAACTTTTCACTCTCTCAAACTTAAAAGAACCTACCTCAAATGGAGAGTTCAGATCCACCTCACCACCAACTCTCATATACTTAGTTTTCCTCTCGTTGACTTCTAGACCAAGTGGTCTTGCAGCTGCTTCAAGGCCTATAAACGCTTCTCTGAGAGCCCGTTCAGACCTACCTATTATGTCAATATCATCAGCAAAACCAAGAAGCTGTGTCAGGCGATTGAAGATTATATCGTTGGTCTGAATACCGGAGTCTCTTACAGCTTTCTCCTCTGCCAAGTTGAACAATAGACAGGCGAGGGCATCCCCTTGCCTCACCCCACTGCTCACTTTAAACTCTTCGGAGTCGTCAGAACCGACGCGTATTCTACATCTCAAGCTGTCCATGGTCATCTTGATTAGGCTTACGAGCTTCTGAGGGATGCTTAGCTCCTCCAAGGCACAGTATAGTTGCGTTCTATCAACGCTGTCGTATGCTGCTTTAAAGTCCAGGAATAAATGGTGGGTGACTACCTTACGCTCCATAGTCTTTTCTAGGATCATCCTCAGAGAGAACAGTTGATCAGTGGTTGAGCGTCCTCTTCGAAATCCAGCCTGATATTTCCCCAGTTCCTTTTCAGAATACGGGAGGATCCTCTCAAAAAGAATGTTAGAGAGCAGCTTATAAGCACACGAAAGGAGTGAGATTCCTTGATAGTTAGCGCATTCTGTTTGATCTCCTTTCTTATGTATTGGGCAGATAATGGCTGTTGCCCATTCCGTAGGCATAGCTAACAGAAAGATTATGAAGAAACATTATTTTGAGAATTAATGGTTTAATTTTGATTTTAAATGTATTAATTATTACTAATATGATCATTTCAGCAATAAATATAATATATTTGTAATGAAATTGAATAATGTTTTTTTCATTTGATCATTAGTAAATCAGCACTTTAATTTAAAAAAGAAAAATTGATTTTTCAACGTTGAGATTTGAGTATTTACTTGAGATTTTTTTTTTTCATTACTTAATTGATTTAATGCAAATTGGATTTAGGTATTTTTGAATGCCTCAATAAAATACTCTGGCTACTTGAAGCATACGAAAATGATTTGATTTAGTTTTGTTTAAATTTTAAAATATTTTAAATTTAATTTTGTTTGGCTTGATGAAAAAAAATAAAATAAATAAAAATGAAACTTATCAATGTGTTAATTACTATCAAAATCTTTACCCAATTTGATAAAATAACCTAGAACTGGCATACTGCCAACAGCTTCACTGCTTCTGGAGTCGTCAGAAAGAAGCAGTCTTGTTATGACATTATACCTAAACTCCTGAGCAGTACCAACTGTAAAAAATATGCTCTTTTCTATTCCACCAAAGCAGTGTTCAACTGCCAGTAGTAGATGTGGAAATACCAGCGAAATAATGGCTTAAGCCAGAATAGAGAGCATCTGTTTTATGCACATATGTATATTTACATCATTAAATTAATTCAAATAATCACAGTGAATAGTCCTTGACATTTTTTATATACACATTTATTAATAATAAACTAATTATTAAAATTCAAAATAAATTCTCTTGACATCTTACCTCATTAGGAATATATAGAACATAACCTAATTCCCCAGTATGTGTAAGGTTTAATGCTCTGATTCCATTTGCCAAGCCAACATCGATTTCCTGGTAACAAACAAAGCATAAATTACTGAAAAGAAGAATGGTCCTATTTTTATTTATTTATTTGTTCACTCTTTCACATAGTAATTTTATTGTACGCATAAGTAAATTTATCAATCTATTAAGAATCACAACATAAAATCATAAGAAGTACTTAAAACTCCCTAAAGTGCTTCCTTTTGCTATTAAAGCCCTAGCTAATAATAATAAAAAAAATTGTTCAAGCAAATAAAATGAATATCATAAATAATTATTTTTACTAATTGTGGATTGATGGATGATTGTAGTGAATAATTGAAGAATAGACTGGTTGGGATGTTCAGTAAAAAAAAATTAAAAATAAATAAATAATAATTTATTTATTTTTACTTTTTTTTTTTACTGAACACCCCAACCAATCTTCTCTTCGATTATTTGTACAATTAAAAAAGTTTTTGTAATTTAAAACTTATAGTTAAAATTAAAAACAAAACACAAAAAAGGTGTATTTTCGTAATTTAAAGCCTTTTCATTGCGGTCTTAACAATAATGTACGATTGTAATGAAATACCTTATATGTAAAGAAAGGAAAAGATTTAGGTCTTAAATCTTGTTCAGTCAATTCAGACAGAAGAGACCTGGTGAGAGGACCCATAATGCAAATGGCAGTAAACATCGAAGTAACATCCGACAGACATACAGAACCATCTTTTGGAAGGTGCCTTTGAATCCAGACTTTAGAGCGAGTTTGTTGAATTGTAGGTGCTACCATCATATAACTAAAAAATATTGTCAAATAAGATTAACTTGAACCAGAACCTGCTGATTATATTGTTTCCATGAAAAATGTAATGTATAACATGCATGAAGGATAAATGGATAAATGAGGTTTCTGTAAAAATTGTTCCATTATTGTTAGATAAAAATTAAAATATTTTTAAAATTTTCTTCTTCTATTTACATAAGTTGAATATTTGGTTCAAAATAAATTTAATAAATATCCCAAATGAGAATACATGTGTCTACATTATAGTACATAAAAGTTATTTAAATTAAGTTTCCTCAAAACTTGAAAAATATTATTTATCAATTTCATCAACTTAATCCGTAAGTTAAACAAATGCTACATATTTTTCCTGATTTCCAAGTCTATTTATATCTTTTCTTAATCAAATTCAGCCATTCTCAAATCCCTGACATTTTCTATTCAACATGAAACCGTCTTGAAAACATAAACAACTTTATAATCAATTATAACCCATTTTAATTCAAATCTAAGTATTTTAGAGCATTTTTTTCCAATAATAAACTCTTAACATTTGTTAAATGTAATTTTTTTTATTGTACTCCTCATCAGGGTGTGGTTCGAGAACTGAAGATATTCAAGTGTTGAGTACTTGAATACCTTCAGTGCTCGAACCATGCCCTGATGATTACCCACATGTTTAGGTTGAAAAGTCGGCATTAATAAAAACCTTATAATGACTGCGTCCTGAATATTTATCACCCATGATATTTAGAACAGTCGACTAACTTCCTGCGATATTGTGAATAAATAGTAAATAAGGATTGTGAAAATTTTCGAACCTGAGTTTTCAACGGAAATACACATTTTGAGGTTCCCTGAGTCCAAATAACCAAGTCCCATAAAATAGTTTATGTGTCAATGTGTGTGTGAATAGTCTACTTCAAAAACAAAAAGTCAAAGAAAACTAATATTTAAGGTGGGTATATGCCTGGGATGTTACAACTATTTCCTGGAAAACAGCTATCTGAAAGCGGAACTTTGTATCATCGATTCTCAACATTTTTCATAAAAACTGCTGTAACGATTTTGATTAAATTAGGTATATTAATGTATAATTGAATGGCCTTTAATACCGGATATGTTGTATCCCTATTCATGTAACTTAACAAGGCACATATGTCCAATTTTCCAAATCCAATTCAAAAAATTTCTTCCCCTAAAGTACCTTTAATTAGATTAATTTTGAATAATAATAGTTATCTCTCATTGTTACCAATAATAATAAAAGACTAAATATAAACTATGAAAGAATTTGATACTTGACTAAAGGAGAAAAAAGAGAAAATGCTTTTTTTAGGTCGAAAATGAATTTCTGGAAATAATAGTCAGATGGTATATGTATGTATTATATGATATATCATTGGAAAGTTGAAAATTTTAGAAAAAAAAAAATCTAAAATACAAAGTCAAAAAAGGTAATAGAAACTGACAAGAAAATTATAAATAATAGTTTGTGAAAACTAATATAATTTCATGGAAACAACGTGTTTCCTAGGAAGTGAAATGAAATTTCCTAACTAAATGTTAACTTTTAAAATTATATTTGTTTGAAAAAAAAAAATTGTATCAAAGATACATTGTTTAAAAAACTATTTCAATGTACTTGTGTAAAAGAAGAAGAGCAATATAAAAATATTACATAGATGAGTAAAACATGTGGTTATAACTTTGAATACATTTAAAGTAATTTAATATCTCTAGATCTGATAATATATTTAAATAATTATATATCTATCGTCGGTTAATTTCGAAAACATCAACATGTAACATTTTAGTTAATTTAATTAATGAAGAATTTGAAGAATTTTTCCTCTGTGAAATCACATTATTCACTTACAATTAGTGTGACAACTTTTGACCGATCGAAGGTAGGCATTGAAAACCTTATACCTCTATTTTACGAAACTTCGCCATAGAAAAATAAGAGTTTAAGAACTAATAGTAGTACAATCCATAATCATTTATATATGTAGGTTAAAGATAAATATGTACTTTCAAATCTCTTTATGCATACATAGCTCAGAGATTGGAGTTAAATGGTTTATGAAACCGGATAGAGTAACAACATTTTTTTTGCCTACCGTCGAGTTAAGTTAATCAATAGGTTTTGTGCTATTTTAATAGCTTTGATGAGTTGTCACAGATTAGCTGTAAGGTTTACCATTTAACTCTGTCAAAAATACATTTCAAAACTTTGTAATAACCCGAAATTGCCTGAAAATGATTTCTATTCAAAGTAAAATGGTAAGTGAAAGCTGTGATGCGTACACCAGATTTTTTAATTTTAAAGTGTTGAAATTTTTTTTTATTTGAGAAAAGAATGAACTGCCACTTTTAATTTTTCAAAAAACATAAAAACTGCTTACGAGTTTCAAAAAAGTAAAACACATTGGAGGATTTGGAGAAAATCACAATAGGGCAAAAACATTGCTATTTTCAGAAGTATATATGATTTTATATTTTAACTGATATTTTATATTCAACATATCTTACTATCTTTAGGTTTCACAATGTTTTCATATAGTACTTATTTTTATGTAACTCTCTCGCTCAAATTTAACATTCGTTTTTATTTATACTTGTTAAAAAAAAAAAAGACTTTTATATATATTTATTATTTATAAATATAATTTTAAACATATATTTAAGAAACGTAAATATAAAACAACAAAAATAATATTGGTTTAAAGCATAAATAAAACTGTTGGAGAAGAAAATTAAGATAACCTAAACAGAAGCCATTGGTGAATTTATTTTTCATTATCACATCAATTCTAACTGGTCAATGTTGAATATTTGCACTTTTAAGTTGAAGACGTGATGGCTGAGCACATAGGGACATGGATCCCAGAATGCCCGGTCCTAAACATTATAGGTTTGATTTCCACCTGGGTTGATTAATTTTCGTTGCTCGGTGGCCCCAGGAAATGAATCTTGATATTCTCATTCGGGTAATTACATAGTGGAAACCTTAAGGTAACCTAACCTTAAGGAAACCTTAAAACCTGAAGGTAAGCCTTCAGGGGTTAGCAAAATGGACCATTTGACCCACTTGCCCAACCAGTTCTCCTACCAGTACCACTGCCATTATTACTATACTTTTAAGTTGGTTTTGCATACTTTTTTTTGACAGATTAATCCAAAACTATTTACGAGTTACTTCAAGTCAATAGAAAATAAATAAATAATATGCACTTTAAGAATCTTTGAATAAAAGTGATGAAAAAAGCACAATATAAAATAAAATAAAAAATTAATCTATCTGAATAATTGATGCATTAGAGGGTTACATTCTTTTTTGTGGCCTCTATATTTAAAATTTTTAAAGTGAGCTCACTGTTTGAGAATAAGTTTTATCACTTGAACCAATAATTCAGTATCTTTCTCCTGCCACACTTGGATAATGAGAGTAACCTTGAAAAAACTTTTTTTTAGGCTTATAAACTCCTCTCTATACTTTACGAACATCGGCAGCTTCATTTCTCAAATTTCCCAACATTTGAAGGTCAAATAATAATAATGGTACAAAATTTTTAGATAACCTCATCATTTCATAAATATTGCTTAAAATTTTAAGTTTGACTGATACATACATGAATTTAAACTAAAAATCCAATAATGAAGAGAAGAATAGTTGGGGTGTTCAGTCAAAAAGGAAGGCAAAAATAAATTATAATATTTATTTTTTATTTTTTACATATGCCGACGTTTCGACCTGAAGTTCAGGCCTTCATCAGGGCTGTCTCCTTAAGCGTCGTAGGGAGATTTTTAGATATTTTAGATATTTTAAAAATCCAATAGGTCATGAGATGTTTTTTGTAAACACAGTCGCGTTTGTTTAATCATTATTTTTAGAGATATTTTATTTTTTTATCAACTAACTAAAATTTATTTATTTACAATTAAATTTAGGTAATAACAAAATGGAAGTTGAAAAAATAATTTATATTAATATAAATTGCTTACTGATTATGGGCAAGTCTTATTAAACTGCAATCATTTTCATAACCACCACATTCATTCTGCATACCAGTATGAATAATACTACCATCAACAACATCAACATCGTTACTACAAAGGTACTGCAGTGTTTTCACAACTTCATCACCTTTTGACTAAACAAAAAAAGTGTTAATGATTTGGGTATACCATGAAATATTTGATAAATACAAATAAAAATCAGAAAGATAAACTATACCCAAAGTTCCAATTTAGTGAAAGAAGAATAGTCACTCAACCCAATCGTTTCTCTACATGCCGCATATTCAGCAGCTACATAATTGAACCATGGAGGTTTTGAGAAAGTATTAGTAGAAGCAACTCTGTAAGGAGTTCCACCATCATAGATATCTGTAAACATTTAATAAATAAATTTAAGAAACCCTAATAAAAATCATCATTATGTCATACAAATAATATAAAAAAATAGCTTACAAACTTATAGTTAAAATAAACAATGTATAGTAGAAACAACTCTTTTATCACTATTATTATAATGATTATTAAAGCTAAACATAAATATATAATATATTTATGTTTTGACGTTATTAACGTTCAGAATTAGGATCATTCAATACTAGACAACTTTTGACATCCAACCTTTTTTTTTTGTATTTAAAAAAAAATATATAATTGTTTGTAGCAAGGGTGAAATTAAGTATAAACAGAATTTATCAACTTCCTGATTTATTTTTTTCAAATAATTACATTCAAAATTAAGTCAGCTGTGGTTATTCAAAACTGGCCAGTGAAGGTTGACTTTAAATTAAATACAAATCTCAATCTTTCTTCTCTGACTAGCATTGTTTTTATAACTGGTAGAGCCAATCAATAACTATTTGAAGTACATAAAAATGTTAAAATAAAAACACACAAACTTTGATAAAAGTCACATATATAAAGAAATTACGTCAATTACGAGATTATAACTGAAAAACAAAATCTAATACTGTTTAATCAAAAGAACTCCACAATATTGGGAAATATTTCAATAGAATTTTAAACCTAAAACGCGTTTTTATAAGTATCAAAAGAATTTTTGAAAGACATTGACTGAAAAAAAATTTAGGAAAAATATTATTTATTTCATTGAAAAAGTCATTTTCCTATATAACGTGATAAGAACAGAAACCTAAAATACAATTTTGAACCAATCGTTAATAAAAAAAAGAAAAAACCACTACTAAGCATTTTAAAAATATGATTGAAGGCAGAACATCTAAAATACTAAAATTAGTAAAGTATAAAAGAAAAATTGATTATTTTTCACCCAAAGTTAATGAAAAGAAATTTAATAAGCAAGGTTTTTTGTTTTGATTTTCAAGAAGAAATACATAACACAAAAAAGAATAATATTTATACTAAAGATAATATAAGGCCATGCAAATAAACATAGATTATGGCTAATAGAGGGCAAAATTTAAAATGAAACATAAATATAAGATCTGTTTGAAATTGAACACCTCCACCAGATATGTTAGAAGACATTAAGTACTATGTAATTAAAAACTAATATAAAAAAAATTATAAAAAAGTACTGAATTTTTTTAAAAACATTTTTTAAGCTGTTAGTGAAGTTCGTGCTACGAATGACACAATATACCTTGTTTGAGATTCCCTCGTTCCCCTTTTTTCAATGAATTTTTGGTAGGGGTATCTGGTTCTGATGAGGATAATGGTCCTACCAACATAACTTTACATGTTAGCAATTGCCCAAATAAAAGGTTAGTACAATAATTTAATAATATTTGAATTATATTAGGAATTAAAAAGATTTTTCAGGTTTAATTGAGAATTGGAAATAAAATTATAGTAAAGCTTTGAAAAAATTAATTTATTGTAAAATTATCCAAATTTTCATCACTTCTGGCATCATCAGGGATACAATCAGATATTAATACATTATGCCAATTTTCATCTAAAACATTACATTAAAAAATCTATCAGAGGACTTGCTGATAGACACTAGTATATTTTTTAAATCATTAAAAATAATAATAACCAGTCACAAGATAAGCATAATTAGACAAAACCTACTTGCATGTAACGGTGGCTCACGAAATAAAATAAAATAACTGCATTCGATTTTTAGATATCTTAATTACTGATTGTAAGGATCAACTAAAATTAAAGTGGACAGAAAAAGATGATTGTATTGATAGGATTTTAAATTATTTATCATGTCACCTTTTTAATAAAAATTAAATGTAATCAGTAAGTACAATAGACAAAATTAAAATATAAAATGCCAATATCTGACTCTAATGAAATAGATAAAATAATTGAATTCTGATTCCTCCATCCCAATTTCTATATAAAAATAGTAAAGAAACATCACACTTAATGTCTTCTATAAACTAGGTACATATTTCAAGATCAAATTACTACATTTCTTTTCTTAGAAATAAAATTTAATTAATTATATATAACTTTTAGGAATCACGACATTGTATGGTACAAAATGTTAGATAAAATCAATAACCTAAGAATACTTAATAATCAAACATTGTTAGTCCATCTTTTCTGAGATACAACCCTTTAACATATATAAATCATCTTTCCGAACCGCCGAAAAAAAACATTCATTGAAGATAATATAAATGATATAAAAGATAGCATACAAAATCTCTAATAAGATGCACCAAAATTTGACACCACCATAAGATAAAATAGTTACAAACCAGAATTACAATTTTTTTTTTTGGTCTATTAAATATGTATTTAATAAACAATAAGTTGACAATCAGCAAATGTGATGGCGATAATGATATAATGACATGACAGGCATGGGGAAGGAAAGTACTCAGCAGTACCTCTTAACTAACCTGTTCCAATTACTTAGGTTGTCTAGGAGATCCCTCATCCAACGCCTTTTTAGTCTCCTCCTCATGTTCTGAGCTATGTCAGCTGTGGCCATGTCTCTTATAAGTCTGTTATTATGTCCATTTAAATGTGTGTAAAATCGTTGATATAGGGTCGTTATATGTTGGTCAAAGTGGAGGTCAGTATGTAGAGTTTTGTTAGTCATGTACCGAGGTGCTTTTGTTATGAGTCGCAATTTTTAGCGATGCCATATATTTGTGATGAGTATGTCCATATGGGCTTAAGTAATTATGTATATGTATTCAGTTTCTGTTTTAGTTTTGAAGATTTGGCAAAAAGAGAGTAAAGTAGTTTGAGTCGTTTGTTAAGTGTCACGTTTCATTTTAACATGTGGGCCCCATGTCATCCTTCTGTCAAAAGGTGAGTCCAAGGTAAAGTACTGTGTCCGTTTAAGGAATTCGATTGTTGTCAATATAAACTGGAGGGCAGGTGTTTTTTCGAAGAGTAAATGTTATATGTTTGGATTTGTCATGATTAAGTCGAATTTTTCATAGTGTGAACCAATCTTGTAGTTTAAGCAAGTGATGTTGTAGAGTTAGTGAGGCCTGTGTAGTGAATTACAATTACAATTTAATTTACAAAATAAATTGGCTACATTGTCTTAATTCCTACAATGGCATGACAACCCAAAACTTTAGTAACAGGGTTTACCAACATAAAAATTCTTGTGCTGAGTACAAAAATAAAAATAAAGGAAAAAAAGATCCAAAAACCACACTAGCTAATGAAGCATTGGAATCAAAACATATATTCGATTTTGAGAACCAGTTGATCCTCCAAAGCAATAATAAAAAACTAAAATTAAAATATTTAGAAGCACTCTATATATCTGAGAACCTCGATTGTGTTATAAATTTAAAGAAGGATGCTGGAAATTTAAATAATTTCTTTTTAGAAACAATAAGAATCGTAAATAAACAATAATACTATTATGGCATCTCTGGGTTGATTCCTAATAAATGCATGAACCTGTAAAATAAATTTTATGGTAACATAATTTTAAATTTAATAACAAAATATATTAAAATTAATTACTGATAATTAGTATAGTGCAATAATTTATAAAATAATTATAATATTAAATTATATTTTTATCTTAGATGTTTTATATTTTATCTTTATGATTTAATATTTTAATGTTGGCAACTCCTCTTATTCTGTGTGTACTGGACTAGATATGCAATACTGGGCACCGCTATGCACAAGTGAGTTTTGTCTAATTTATGTATATGTTGTGGCTGGTTATAATTATTTTTAATGCTTTTAAAAAAATGGACTCTGGTCTGGTTTTCAGGTGAAAATTCACATCATGTTTTAAAATCTATTTGTATCCCTGATGATGCCAAAGAGTTGAAAATTTGGATAATTCTACAATAAATTATTTTATTCAAAGGCCTAATTCCTACATATACTTATAAAAAGTTTCTTTCCCATTATCATCATTTATTAATAGCTATATAATAACCTTCTGTCCAGTCTTTATGAGTTCCCTTCACAAGCTGCGGGGCTTTCTAAAGCTAGGTAAGGTAGTAACAGTTTCAGTTTTAGGAGGGATCTCTAGGGTGTAAATAGACACCACAGGATGTTTTAAATGTTCATGGGCTGAACATCTTTAGCTATTAGCCTACTCATGCATTTTTTATCAAGCATACTTCTTTGCTAAGTAATTCAATATAGGTAGTCAGTTATTTTTAAAAATAGTCTCTCTAATAAGATTATTGAAATTTTGTATTAAATCCCATTCAAACTTTGCATATCAAAACCATATTTTTGAAGTTTATGAGACAATTTTCAAATAAAAATTCTGTAAGCATTACTTATCATATTTTATACTATGCTTCTTTCAACTAGGGTTTTTTTTTTCAGCTACTATTTGTTCAAAATATTCCTGCATAAAATTGTTTTATATATCATATCATTGTTAAATTTTAAAGTCATTTTGTAATACACCTGTTACATTTTGGTTCTATCTGTTCGCTGCTTGTTTATTGTTTAAAATTTCCAGGAGCAATATTATGAAAAAAAAAGTAGCGCTTTTTAATATGTTTTAATATTCTGACAAAGGTACTAATTAAAACGAAAAAAAATTACAAAATGAATAAAAGATTTATAACTTGAAAATGGATGGATAGCCATCCAAATTATTATTCTTAATAAAAGATTAAAGTAGACAAAATTATTAATGGATTTATTAATAATCATAATAAAATTATTTAACAGTTAATTTTTGTGTTACATATATTGTCATAACTTCAGCTCATGATGTTAATCTTATAGGGTAAATAACTGTTAGAAGAAAAATTTAATTTTGACATTTTAAAAAATATTAAATTAATAGGATAAATAAAGACAGGACATAACAATATCAATTCCAAAATTACAAGTCCCATATATTAGAATTGGAAAAGAAGGATAAAAGTAAAAAATGCCTGTCCCACAAACAGCATGCTTAATTTTAAATCAAATAGTGAATTAAGTTTATATATACACACGATATCTCAATTCTAATTGGCCAAACTCTGGAAGGTATTCTAGACGAAATTTCAAACAAAGAAGTTTATTTGAGGCATGGGTCGATTCCAAACGGAAAAGTTGTTAAGACCAATTTCTTGTTTTCTTAAGGTGGTCACTTTTACTAAGAAGGAATTGCTCAAAAACTGTTCAAGATCATTAAATTTTATCTACACCATCGTAAAGTATATAAAATTTTCTTTGAGAAAATAATGATTAAATTTATTAAGGTCAATGATAAAAGGGATTCTCAGAAGCTCTAGTAACACAAAGTCTACCAATGAGCCGATTTATTTCACGAATCGGAATTACAGAGATATGCTGCTCGTGTATGGATACTGTAACTGCAGCAATACAGCGGCTGTATTAGACCTCCCTAAAGTCCCTTTTATCATTGACCTAAGTCAATTTAATAAAGTGTTTTCTCAAAGAAAATGTGTTCTACTTTACAATAGTTCAATTAGAATTTAATTATCTTGAACAATTTCTTCTTATTTAATAAAAAACGTGACTACCTTAAGAAAAACACAAAATTGGTCTTATATCCTTTTTCATTCGGAATCATGCATCTAATGAACTTTTTTGTTCAAAATTTTATCTGAAATCACTTCCCGAAAATTGGCCATTAAAAACTGAGACACCCTGTTTATATAGGGTGTATATATATATATATATATATATATATATATATTATAAAACGTTTTAAATAACATTAGTGTCATTATATAAAGGAAAAGAATACTCAAAATTCTCACCAGTGTGTTCAAACCAAGATGGCCTTTCATATCCCATGACCTGACCAAAAACAGCACCTGCATCCTTTAAAGATGTGAAAATTGGAGACATTCGCAATTTTCTTCCAGTTTGAAACTCATGGAAAGGATAAACCAAACTGTAATGAAGACCTAGAACAATAAAAGAAATATTTTGAAGAAAAAAAACAACTAATAAATATAAATAATGGTGTGAAAAAGTCTTTGAACGAACCAAATTTTTATAAAAATGATAATTTTTTTAATTTAAACGTTTATTTATCTTCTTAATTGTAAACTGATTTAACAATGCAGGCATTTCAGAGGTAATATTTATTTAAATTAGCATTAGTTTTAATTATTAACAAGCCAAGTTGGCCTATCCGTTGTGTTGATGTTTTTTTGTCATCTGAATAATGCTACATTTTTGTATATATTTCACTATTATGTTGTTCACTTCAGTCTTTAAACTTTATTGTTATAACCAGAGCCATTGTATAAACCCTTTAAAGCTGACCGTATCTATGAAAATTGTTCTAATGTAGGAATTCTTTGCTTTTTTTTGGTAATTTAATTTAACATTACATACTTCATGAGTATGATCACCTCACTGTATATATATACATATTTTTATGATTTTTATTTACCAAAGATTTAAATAAAAAAATATGTGGGAGTCAGAAATACTGTGAAGGAAAAGACCCGATTCCCACTCTTGTCAGCCCAGTCTTCTTTCGGTTGTTGGCCGGTATGCATTGTCTGTTTGATCCGGAATGATTTTCATTAACCCATAAATCCTATATTTTAGCCTATATTTATTGAAAAATTAACTTTTTTCAGGGTTCCAATCAATACTTTAGCGGTAGCTTCATATGTACAGTAACTCTACACATAAGCTTCATATGTACAGTAGCTCTACACACAAGCTTCATATGTACAGTAGCTCTTTCATTTAATATTTTTGGTTAAAAAAATAAATATAATGTGGCAAGTTCATAATGAAATTGAATACGTTAAACAGTTATTTTTTACATGAAATCTTTTCTTGCTCTTATTTAATTCAAATGTTTATATTAATATTATCTCTAGAATTCATATAATTATTATCTATAAATACAAAAGTGTATCCGAACAGATGTAAAATGATAATTCATAATCATTAATGCATTATTTACTAGTATAAATATATTTCTTTAAAGTAAATCTTTTGGGATCATGATTAGTAATTATTCCAACATGATTAGCATTGTCTTAGTTTACAATTTGAATTGTAATAAGAAAGTTACCTGGCACTTCACTGACTCTTTCCCTTAGAAATTTTGTGTTATTATGTAGTCCTAGAAATCTACTGATGTCTATTTCGTACATATCATAAGAAGTTTTATTATTGGTTATAAGTTCTGCAATAGCTTTTCCGACTCCACCAGCGGCTGAAATACCAACTGTTTTCATTCCAGAAGCAATGTAGTACCTTTCTACCTGAAAAATATAATGTCATACATAAAAATGTAATATAATTTTCAGGATTAAATATCATAGTAAAAATTTTCTAATCTTAGTTACCTCTGGAGCTTCACCAACCACCCACTTACAATCAGGTGAAAATGCTTCAGGTAGGTTACTCAGTTTTTGAGGCCGAATATCACCCACAGAAGGAATTCGAATTAATAGCTGCTCTAAAAGCACGCTAAAGTGATCCCAGTCTTCAGGAAGACTACGATCAGCCTGAGTATCTAATAAAAACAACAAAATTAACACAAATTAAGGAAGCAAAAAAGTGACATATGGAAATTTTGTCATAAGCTGTCCTTAGATGACATTAGCAACTATAACAGACATTTCATTGTGAAATTTATTAATTCATGATACCAGAAAAAACAAAGGCTATTTTAACTCAAGACAAATTTTCTTTGAGAAACCTGAACAATTCTGAACACACAGAAAACCCCACACAAATGCTTTCAAACATTTGCAAATGCTTGTAAGTTTTGTTTCTTGCAAGGTTTACATGCATTTTTGTATGAACTCACTAAATAAGAAGCTTTCAACCTTTTTAAAGACAAGAGATTCAATCAAAAATTAATATGTGTATGCTAGATAAATCAAATGATTATATATTGCCAATAACAATAAACAATTTTTAGGAAAAATAATAATTTATCCTGATGAAAAAGAAACATAAATTATGAACAATAAATAATCAAAATTTCAAATATGCAAAGATCACATGCGCTTAAAAAATAAAAATAAAATATAATAAAAAATTATTATATTTGCAATATTAGTCACTGGCTCATTAAGATTAGTTCAATTGTTTTATTATTACCCATTGTTCAATGGAATCCTTTACTAAATGAAGAGAGGTAAAAAAAAACACACAAGAGCTTAAAAGAATATTGGCCTTGAGAAAATAATGAAGTCTGTGTTAGAGAATATTTTCTCACAATAAAGCAAATAAAAAATATCAGAAATGTGCACACTAAAACCTTTAAAAAACATTTAACTTACTCGGTATTTTTCCATTTTCATAAGCAGGCTTTGCAACTGGCTCAAAACCTCCTGCTACAATGCACCCTTCATATTCTCTAAAATATATGTATCCATCCAGATCACGGACAACTAAAAATATGAAATATCTTAAACATAATGCATAATTTTAACAATGGCCTAAAAAATATATGGTCATATATGAAAATAGCCTAAAATCAAATGATTATATTATATAAAAAAGAAAAAAATATACATTATGATTCCATATCTTAAAATTTCCAAAGAAATACAGGATAATAGAAAAGGAATGATTGGTGTTGGTTGGGAAGTTATTTGGGGATTGTAGCCACAGTAAGAAACAAAAATAAAAATTTGGTATTCAATGTCGAGGTTACAGCTTCAGTTTTAGGACTTCATAAGGGCTTAGGAATGACAAAATAAAACCACACAAAAATTATTATGATCCTATTATAAAAATATATGGAAAGAAAGTATATGTTATCTTCTAATAAATGAATTCTAGCAAATGAATAAAAAATCGTATTTAGTTGTTACATTGTATTTCCTCACCCTTGATGAAGGCCTAAAATTTAGGCCAAAATGTCAGCCAAAAATAAAATAAAAATTGTTTCTTTTTATTTAAGTTCCTCACTGTTATTGGAATCCCCAAACTTCCATCAATTCTTTTTTTTTTTTCTTTTTTTATAAATTAGTATATATATTTTCAATATATATAAACCTATATAAATCAACTCTAAATAGGAAAAAAATAACTTTTATGATTACACAGCTTACAACTAAGAACTTTATAAGTTATTCGAGCATTTCACATACCAGGCATCATTGGATCTATGTTCATAGGAACAGTAAGAAGATGGTAGTGCTCCACTGGGTGGATAGGAATTTTGACAGGAGGCCGAGATCTCGCTCCTAGCTCTCTTGCCCAGAAACCTGCAGTATTCACAAATGCTGAGCAGTTTATTTCCCCATAAGGAGTAACCACTTTGTCCACACGACCATTTTTTGCTTGCACAGTTGATACAGAACAGTTTTCATATACTCGAAGTCCTGCCGACAGAAAAAAAAAAAAATTAATTTTATAGGATTCGAGCTGGAGCACAATTAAACCAATACATCCATATTCTTCTTCTTTGGATATGCTTAAAAAACAAATATGGAGATATTAGCTTGATAAATAACATAGAAATTTAAAAAAAAAAACATCCCCAAAGGTTTAGCTTCATCAAAAAACCAACAGTAAAGAAATGAATAAAATATTATTTTTAGTCCTTAACTTAAAAGATAACTACAGTGACTTCCCAAAATTCTTCTTCTTTTTTTTAGGACCATATACAAATATTATATGCAATTCATAGTTTAGCATAACCTATCTTAATTGAAAATAAATCACAAGAGACAATTTATAAAAAGCCACAATTTCTAGTGAAGGAAATAGATATACTGTGAAAGCAAACATTCAATTGCTAAAAACTTGAACTATTTCATTAAATAAAATTTATCCAATTGTTTTTTTAACAAATTCAACATCCCGTGAAAATAGAAAAAAATAATATTTGCAAATGCAAATAGAGATAGTTAGGACAGTTAGTTAGTTTACACACAATTTGAGCCTTCTAGCTAATAATGAAGTACATACAGTTTGCTTTTTTCTATACTACTTTCCTAATTAATTATGATTTCTCTGATTATATTAACTGTCAATGAAAATATTCTATAATAAAATAAATCAAACTCAAAAGAATGAAAAAAGATTTGCTTTTATGTTTTGATAATATTAATATTGTTTAATTGCTGTTGAGTAATTATGTTTCACCAGTAAAGAACTAATTTTGGCAATGATTTTTATTAATTCTTGCAAGTACCTACATACATTTTTTAACAAATTTATTTGATAATTATTTTATCTGTGTGTGTATATGAAGGAATGTATGTATGTGTGTGTATATATATAGATAGATAGATATATAATACATATATATACATACACACATATACACACATAAATATATTCACTATGTTATCCTAACTTTAATGTAAAATACTTAAGTATGATCCAAAATAAAATTTCATATTAAAATGCAAAATGTTTGTATAGTATTAGAAATACAATGAGGAAGGAGAAACATAAGTGATTTGGCTTCCAACTCTTCTATTTTAAGCTAGATAATGTAGTACTCCCATTAAAGAATACTACAACAATCTCACAGCTGAGTACCATATCAGGAAAATTAGCTGAATGTTATTCATATTAACTAAGTTTGCCAAATGATATGAAAAAATCAGAAAAAAAGAATATTTTTACAAAAAAAAAATATTTTGTCGAAAATCCATATGAAACCAGGCTTTAATAAATTTTAACTTTTGTAAAAATATAGATGTGAAGATAAAGAATTTAAATAACAAACAATTAATTAAAATAATCGATAATTATTAAAGAAAAAAACTTACAAATAAAAGACTAACCTATTTTAAGTCATTTTACTTTTTTTAAATGTCTACTCTTCAATAGATGAAATAAACATGATAAAAGTAATATTCTATAAACAGATATGAAAAAAAAATAGGGTTCCCACATATTCCATAAATTAATTTCTTTGTTAAAGTTATTAATAAATAACCAACCTAATCATAAGTATAGTGATATATCTCAAAGTCAGAAACTATACTCAATTAATTTTATTATAAAAACTGATTTCACCTTTGCTTACAGCTACTTTCAATAATGAGTTTAAAAGAGTATATGGGTCACCAACACCATCACCAGGAATCCACAAGCCACCTTTTAGGTCATCAATGGCAATTAAGGGGCATTTCCTTTGAGCTTCGATCGGAGTGACTAGTTCGCAATCAATATTCCAAGATCTGAAAAAAAGATATTCCAAGCAATGATATTAAACATTGGTGTTTAAGGGAGTATTTTGAACACAATATTTCTTTATTAACAAAAAAATGCTTATTTTTCAATGAAGTCAAAACACAATTCAATAAAATTAGCCTATCCAATAAATAAACTAACAAGGAATGAAATTATTTAAATGCCAAAATCATAAAATTAATTTATATTTAAAGAATTTCATTGCAGTGATTAATAAAAGAAACACTAATTTGTAAAAATAAATAAGTTTAAATATTAATGATCATAACAAACTTTTTTAATATTGTATTTTATTTGACTGAATGATTAAAAGTTGGGATACTAATACACATGAATCATGAATTCAAATAAAGTTTTAATGTAATATTAATGACATATACAAATTCCTCGATGTTGAAATAATATCAATCTTAAGACTTTTCTAAATTAAGATACAAAAATTAAAGTTACAATACATTATAGAATTAACCAACTAAATTAGCCACCTTATGAAAGAAAATGCTAAATTAAGTTTTGAATCAAAATAAATAGATTTTCAAAAGTAGATTTTATTAATATAAAAAAGAATAAAATTTAATGATAAAAGATGTGCTAACAAGTTAAATTAGGATAGTTAAGCTGTACAGTAAAAAATAAAATAAAATGAAGTAGTAGGTAGGTAGTGTCAGTTTTAACAAATTTGTTCTTACACAGAGAGAGATTTCATTCTTCTGAAAACTGTCATTCTATCATTAGTTCTTGCTAAGCATAAGCTTCCACATTGTTTCCAGCCAGTTGGAAGGCCTAGCTCTTTAAGATCACGAAACATGTCCATTGATGTCTGACAAAGTCTTACTTGAGCTAAGGTTGGTTTGAAGACACCGACAAGACCTATGGTGTTCCATGTCGGGGCACCGCCAAGACTGAAACCAGGAAAAATAATCTCAGAGTATTTATTTGGATAGAAACATAGATACAATGTATTTTAAAATCTAAAAAAAAAAAAAAAACTACAAGTTCTGTAAAAATAAAGAAAATGATAGGATTATCACAGAAAAATTTAATTTTGATAAAACATGAAAGAGCATATCCATCATAAGAATTTGATAATTATTTTTTTGATAATAAGATCAGTACTGAAGTAGTACCTCATTCATAGTCTATATGATATGTAGTTGACACTATAATAAACAAGAATGAGGAATAAATCACATGAGAACTGTACTTTCACTGCAATCAATCTTGCACATCCTGTTAGAAAAACTAATAATTGCTTGAAATACCTAACTATAAACTTGAAAATCTTAACAATCATATCACTAAATAAATATAATAAATCAAAACAGAGTTATGAATTTATTAGATATAATAACAGATTTCTTTTACAATTATTTTGAACAGAAATTTTTTATTAACTTGGTAAAATCAAGGAAAATTAACTATTTTTAGGTCTTATTTTTTACTATAATTATGATCATTTGTCTGATTTGTTTTTTCTAAAAGAATAGTTTGCATAATTGTACATGGTCTGATTCCAAAGATAATGTATCTCATATTCAAAAGCTTGAGTTAATGTTCAAACACATTTTTAAATTCCATCAATTATAATCAGATTTACCTTGCCTGTTCTAAGAGTATTGTCCTTGGCCCCCAACCCATTTGAGCTAAATGGTAGGCCACTGATGCACCTACAACTCCTCCCCCACAAATCACAACATCCACACTTGATGGCAGTCCTTCTGTAGGGGACAGAGTTCTCAGATCTGCAAAATCTGAACGAGTCCATGATGTCAAGGAAAAAAGTCTTATTGTTGAAGAAAATGCACATCTTTGCTTCGTAAGGGCACTAAATAACATTTCTAAAAAGTTTTAGAAGAGACTTTAAGGCATTTTAATTTTTTAATAATTAGATTCCGAATGGAAGGCACAGAGACGCAATATCACAATAGATGAGATCGACGGAGACAAAGGATAGGTCCCAGGTATGAATTCCGGCTACCTCTCTCTACGCTGTAATCCGTCAAGAATTCACAACTAAACCTACCCCACTGTTATACCACATGACCATTACCCCCACTCCACGACCTTCAGCACTGCAAGGCGTGATAACGGTTGGTCCATTGTTGAGATTTTGAAAATAATGAGAAATAACGAGTAATGATTTTTCGTAAAAAATAAAGTTAATATTACAAAATTTAATTTCACTCCTTCGTTACATAAAAATATTAATTCATTTTTCTATTTTCATTCAACTGTAGCGATACTAGACGTGATCTACGACGGTTACTTCAATGCACGGGAAGATCTACGGGAGGGGAGGGGGGCTTTCGGGCTGAAGCCCCCCCCCAAAATGGTAAAGTATAACCATGTTTTATCGAAAAAAATATTTAAAAAGTATCTCTTAAAGTATTATTGTTCGTGTAATTACATTTAAAAGGGCTTTAGGAATCACTTAAACACCATTTCATACAGGTAGTTAGTTTTTTTCTTTTTTTCCAAGGTAATTATCGTTATTTTTATGAAAAAAAAAACTTTCGGGCTGAAGCTCCCCCAAAAATAAATCCTGGATCCGCTAGTGCTTCAATGCCTCCTTAAGCGGAAATTATTAAAACAAATTTAATGTAATCTTGAAAAAGTTGCCAAATCTTTGGGTTAGCATGTTTCTTCGACAGGAGTAATTGATGTTCAGCTTAACAGATGACACTAATATCAGTGAGAAAAATGTTGCGAGGACATCTCTGCATTGATTCTTCGACTGGTTGGCTAGGAAAAAGCCATTAATTTCATCTCAAAGATTTGAAGTATTGTAAAATAATATATAGTGACATATATAGAAGGATTATGGAGAAAACATAATGCATGTCAAAAAAAACAAAAATATTTCACGAACGATGAAGCATAAAGATGGATTTGTGACAGTTTTTGGGAGTGTGTATTTAACTGGGATGTGGAATTCATACCCGGGAATTGAAATGTTTACAGGTTTGTTTCTTTTTATGTTTGAAAAACTATTTAAAATGGTCTATTTTGAAATTTAGATTAAGGTCTGATAGAATTTCTCAATGACCTAAAGCTCACAGCACCAGTTCTATTGTTGAGGGCAATAAATAAATGATTGCCTTATAATGCATCCAAACTGCTTTTTGATTCTCAGATGATCCTAGATCATGATTTACTGGATAAACCTATTGTTAAATTATTTTTTATTACTGCCCGGAGACTTGAAGGTCTATTTTGCAGTTGTTTGCCAGTTACTGGTACAGATAATGAAAAATCGAATGATTTTATCTCTGAAACCTGCGACACAATTCGACCACCGCAGTCCAACTGACATCTGGGTCTTCCAACTCTGTGCCTCTCAAATAGCTGTTCTGTTGATATTTTCTTGGGGATTGACTAGGGATGGGTTGATACTAAAATTTTTGTATCTAGATACAACTGATACGGGTACTTTTTTGTATCTGATACTTTTATCTGATACTTTTGTATCTGATACAAATGGGTCAGTAGTTGGTCATGACCTTCCTACTACTTTTTATCTGATACTAGTATCAGATATTTTTATCTGATACTGGCATCAGATACTTTTATCTGATATTTGTATCAGATATTTTTATCTGATATTTGTATCGGATATTTTTATCTGATATTTGTATCAGATATTTTTATCGGATACTTTTATCAGATATTTTTATCTGATACCTGGACTAGATACCCAGCGGTATGCATGCTGGCGCTTGGTATCTAGTCTAGTCTTGGACTTATTAGTTAATATATAATAGTTCTAATGACTTTATAGTTATGTCAGGTACTATGAAGATATTCACACAGTTTTTAAAACAAAATGTGATTCATATTAGACAAAAGAATGGAATATATTAAATAAAATATAACAAATTCATGCAGAGAAAAAATTTTCCTAATACAACGTTCTTAAGAATTTTGTAACAATTGAAAAAATTCTTAATAGCTACGTTTAACATACTCACACACACATATATATTTTTTATTTTCACTGATCAATCTACATCTTGGGATTTAGATTATATAGGACTTGTATAATGTTTACAATACTATTATTGTATTCTTTGAACATATTAAATTACATATGTAAATCATTTAAAGTAAATATTAATCCACTCTTTTATTATTATTTTTTTCATTAATACAATGGTATGACAACAAAAGTAATTTGTCGTTTATTTCAAATTTCAGTTAAAATTCCATAGTTTATTGTTTTTAGTAACTATCTTGCTGTATTGGGACCTTATTGCTCATATTATGTCTTTAATATATCAGTATAGTTATGTAAATCCTTCTGTTATTACTTATTTTTTAGTTTTTTTTTATTGTAATATGCATTTTGGCCAGATGTTATGTTAAATTTTATGTACAATATTGTTATTCTCAAGAGACTTTGTCCCAGAATAAAGGTGATTATTCTATTCTATATATATATTTATTTTTTCTGTTTGTATTACAGACCATGTAGATCTTTTGCCACCTTAACAAGTATGCTCAATCTCTGCCTGTCTTGGGCTATTTTTTGCCATTTATCTGCACGCAGCTCTATTGTATCTTTGTTGATTCTATCTATCCATCTGCTTTTTGGCCTTCGACTTGGTCTTTTGCCTACTATAATAAAAATAGCCCAAGACAGGTAGAGATTGAGCATACTTGTTAAGGTGGCAAAAGATCTACATTGTCTGTAATGCAAACAGAAAAAATAAATATATATATAGAATAGAATAGAATAGAAGAATCACCTTTATTCTGGGACAAAGTCCCTTGAGAATAACAATATTGTACATAAAAATTAACATAACATCTGGCCAAAATGCATATTACAATAAAAAAAAAACTAAAAAATAAGTAGTAACAGAAGGATTTACATAACTATACTGATATATTAAAGACATAATATGAGCAATGAGGTCCCAATACAGCAAGAAGTTACTAAACAACAATGAACTATGGAATTTTAACTGAAATTTGAAATGAACTACAAATTACTTTTGTTGTCATAATATTGTATTAATGAAAAAAATAATAATAAAAGAGTGGATAAATATTTACATATTACATATTAAATGATTTACATATGTAATTTAATATGTTCAAAGAATACAATAATAGTATTGTAAACATTATACAAGTCCTATATAATCTAAATCCCAAGATGTAGATTGATCGGTGAAAATAAAAGAAATATATGTGTGTGTGAGTATGTTAAACTTAGCTATCGTATAGTGAATATCTTCATAGTACCTGACATAACTATAAAGTCATTAGAACTATTATATTTAAAAATGGTATAAAATATTTATTACAGGGACAAATTTAATAATAAAGGAATAAAATATATATAGGTACATATTTAATGTATGTTTTATTAGGTATCAAATAGGTATTAAAATATCAAACCCGATCAATAATCAATTACAGTTGGATTAAAATATCTGATACAATTATTGAGATATCAAGCCCAAGTGCCAGTATGCATACCGCTGGGTATCTAGTCCAGGTATCAGATAAAAATATCAGATAAAAGTATCCAATGCGAGTATCAGATAAAAATATCTGATACAAATATCAGATAATGGAAAGAAATAGCCCAAGAGAGGTAGAGATTGAGCATACTTGTTAAGGTGGCAAAAGATCTACATGGTCTGTAATACAAACAGAAAAAAAAATATATATATATATATATATATATATATATGTATGTATGTGTGTGTGTATGTTAAACTTAACTATAAAGAATTTTTTTAATTGTTACAAAATTCTTAAGAACGTTGTATTAGGAAAATATTTCCTCTGCATGAATTTGTTATATTTTTATTTAATATATTCCATTCTTTTGTCAAATATGAAGCAAATTTTGTTTAAAAATTGTGTAAATATTTTCTTAGTACCTGACATAACTATACAGTCATTAGAACTATTATATATTAACTAAAAAGTCCAAGACTAGACTAGATACCAAGCGCCAGCATGCATACCGCTGGGTATCTAGTCCAGGTATCAGATAAAAATATCAGATAAAAGTATCCGATGCGGGTATCAGATAAAAATATCTGATACAAATATCAGATAAAAATATCCGATACAAATATCAGATAAAAATATCCGATACAAATATCAGATAAAAATATCTGATACAAATATCAGATAAAAGTATCTGATACTAGTATCAGATAAAAATATCCGATAGCAGTATCAGATAAAAATATCTGAAATTAACATTACATAAAAAAAAAAAAAAAGCGTGAATATATTTATCTACAAATAAATATTTAATTAAATTAAACTAAATAAATAGATAGTTCTAAAAAAATTGTGCACAATAAAATTATAACTAAACATTTCTCTTATATCAATGTGGCATGTCTGGACAACCATTTTGTATCCATGTGAGCATCAGATACTTTTGTATCAGATACTTTTTGGTTGTATCTACTGGTTGTATCAGATACTTTTTTAGTATCAGATAAAAGTATCTGATACATACAATCCGACCCATCCCTAGGATTGACTGCTCTGGCATCCGTGCGAGATGTCCCGCCCCCTTAATCTTCCTGCCTTGTTAATCGAGACTATATCAGGCTCGTTATAGAGGGTATAAATTACTCTAATTCTAATCCTTCTTCATTGTCCATTTTCACAGGTCAGTCCATGAATTTGGCGATGGATTTTCGGTTGGGAAATTAGCGATTGGAATCCTGGTTTACGGAGAGCAACCAGTGGAGGATAGGTGTTCTGTTCCATTGGTTGTTTGTAAATAATTTATATAAGTATGTACAAACATACTTATATGAATTACAGTTAGTTCTAAACATGTATAAGTTATTTTATTT